AGGTCACTCTCCAAGGCTCAGATGGTAAGGACCCACTTAATTTCACAAGATGATCTGATAATTCAGTTGCAAACAGTTCTCTCTCCTTTCTCTGACAGAGTATATATACTAAAGTGGCAACCAAGCATTTAATTCAGAGCTGGGCATGGTGGCACACACCTTTAATCCCAGCACTGCAGAGGCAGAGTTCGAGGTGGTCCCCACAGGCTCATCTATTTGAATGCTTGGAGAGTGGCACTGGGAGGTGTGGTCTTACTGGAGGAAGTGTGTCACTGGGGGTGGACTCTGAGGTTTCAGAAGTTCAAGCCAGGCCCAGTGTCACTCTTTCTTCCCGCTGCCTGCTGCTCCAGATGGAGAACTCTCAGCTCCCTCTCCAGCACCATGTCTGCCTATACACTGCCATACTTCTCACCATGCCAATAATGGAATAAACCTCTGAACTGTAAGCCAGCCCCATTTAAATGTTCTCCTTTGTAAGAGGTGCTGTGGCCATGGTGTCTCTTCGCAGCAATAGAACCCTGACTAAGACAGCAACTGAGGAAAGCTGGGAGTGGAGAGGCAGTCCTCCCCAGCCAAGAGCACACCAAGTGCTGTCCAGCGCCAAAAGGACAGCCCTGGAGACATACTACAAGTAACATGATACGGATTAACAGGTTATATCTACAAATCTGTATGTGTATACAAATGCAGACAGACACGCAATAACAATTAGTGATAGAAGAGGCTATGAGTTTGAAGGAGACTGGAGTGGGGTATATGGAAGGCTTGGAGGGAAGAAAGGGAAGGGAGAAATGTAATTAAATTATAATGTCAAAAACAGACAAACAAAAAACCAAAACAGCCAGGTCATGGTGGTTCAAGCCTTTAATCCCAGCACTCAGGAGGCAGAGGCAGGCAGATCTCTGAGTTCAAGGTCAGCCTGGCCTACAGAGTGAGTTCTAGGATAGCCAGGGCTACACAGAGAAACACTCCCCAAAACAACAACAAAATCAACTAATATAGTTGTTTTTTAAAAAAAAATAAAAAAGGGGGCTAGGGTCTGGAGAGATGGCTCAGAGGTTAAGAGCACAGACTGCTCTTCCAGAGGACCCAAGTTCAATTCCCAGCAACCATATGGTGGCTCACAACCATCTGTAATGAGATCTGGTGCCCTCTTGTGGTGTGCAGACATACATACAAACAGAACACTGTATACATAATAAATAAATAAATCTTAAAAAAAAAATGGCCTAAAGAGATGGCTTAGCAGGCTCACAACCAAAAACATAGCAAACAACCAAAATAAGACAAATAAAAACCCCAGAAGTGAGGCAGGTGTGGTGGCACACACCTTTAATCCTAGCACTGGAAGGCAGAGGCAGAAGATCTCTGTGAGTTCGAGGCCAGCTTGGTCTATATAATGGGTTCCAGAACTGAAGAGCTACATAGTGAAACCATCTCAAAAAATAAAGTAAAATAAAAATAAAAATTGAACTTGAAAGACCCTAGCCCTTCAGGCTTACACCCCCAAGCCTCAGGAAAATAGAAACTTTAAGCACCAGGAAGTGAGAAACTAAAAATCTAGTTCCAAGGACAACCTGACTTAGCCATTGTTCAATCTCCCCTGCAACCATATAACAATGTAAAAAGATCTCTGTTAAGAGATGTGCTCAACTGTGACTGGGATAGTTGCAGGTGTTCCAGGAAGGACCACTGTGACCACTCCCCGCTTGAGGTTTCAGGAAGAATGTACCTGTTGACGTAACTGTACCCCCTGTGATCACTCTGTGATCAGACCATGATCTTGTGAAACAAAATTGTATGGGAATTGTAATCTTATGGCTTTTGTGGGTTTTTCCTTTAAAAGCCCCCATGGGGCTGCAGTAAGATGCGGCTCTTGCTCTTAGGAGCAGAGTTTGCCCTTCTATATAGAAGCTTCAATAAAAACCTCTTGCTATTGCATCAACTGGACTGGAGTCTGGGTTCTTGGGGCGCCCACTTGAGACCCTAAATTTTGGGGTCCAACAAACTACAGCCAGGCCTGATGGCGCACACTTTTAGGCTCAGCACTCTGGGAGGCAGAGGCTGGAAGATCTGTGAGTTAGAAGCCTGTCTGGTCTATAGCCAGGGCTACACAGAGAAATCCTGTCTTAAAAAAAAAAAAATATGCTGGAGTTGGGTATGATGGTGTACCCCTTTATCCCAGCACTGAGGAGACAATCTGGTCAAGTCTCTATGTATAGAGTTCTAGACCAGCTATACATAGAGAGACCCTGCCCTTCCCCACCCCACCTCACCCCCAAAAAAGACCCGGGAGCTCATGAACCCAGGGCATCATAAGCTAAGTGAGTGCCTATAACTGACTTGTATCTCTTTTACAATTATTTACCTTTTTTTGTTTGTTGAGTTTCCCTGGCTGTCTTAGAACTCCCTCTGTAGACCAGGCTGCCTCAAACTCACAAGAGATCCACTTGCCTCTGCCTCCTGAGTGCTGGGATTAAAGGCATGTGCCACCATGCCCCGCTCAATTATTTACTTCTTTAAAAAAATATTTATTTTTATTTCATGTGTTTTGCCTGCATGTATGTCTGTGTGAGGGTGTTGGATCCTCTGGAAGTGGAGCTACAGACAGTTATGAGTTGCCATATGGGTGCTGGGAATTGAAGCCAAGTCCTCTGGAAGAGCAGCCAGTGCTTTTTAACTGATGAGTCACCTCTCCAGCTTATAATTATTTAGTCTTATAAGTATTTGTAATATATAGAAAAGTATATATTATATAATTAATGTACTATATATAATTGATATATAATGTATCTTTTAAATTTTTTTGTTTTGTTTCGTATTTTGTAAATAGGGTTTCTCTGTGTAGCCTTGGCTGTCCTAGAACAAGCTCAGGACAGTAGTAAATCAAGCTGACCTTGAACTCAAGAGATCTGCCTGCCTCTGCCTCCCCTTATTTTTTAATATTTATATACTTTACTTAAAAACAAACAATACATGAGAGCCACTAAAACCAAGTATTATAATTAGCTTATCTACCCCTGAATTTATAAAAGGAAGTCCTTACATTGCAAAAATAAGCATTTGGATTTACATTCATTGATATCACTAAACTTCAAAATACCTGATTATCAAACAATCTGGCCCAGGCCTGGACAGCTGGGGTTGGGTGGTCAGGGGAAAGGTCACGTGAAAAGGTTATAGGAACAGGACTCATGCAGGTGTCTCTCCCCTTGGAGCCGTATCACAGTCCCTGAGTTGACTGAGTATGAAAAAGTTTAAAAAGAAAGCCAGGCGGTTTATAGTTCAGTCTAGTCCGGTGTAATCTTAAGTACTAAGAGGGAGTATTGAGAGTTTGAAGGTAGCCTGAAATACAGACTTAAAAAGAAAAAAGTTTCTGGCCTGGGGATGTAGCTCAGTTCCCAGAGGCTAAATAAATCTACATAAACACTGGGCACAGTGGCACATGCCCACAATCACAGCACTCATGAGGTGGGGGCAGGAGGCTCAGAAGTCCTGTGTCATCCAGGGCTGCACAGAGTTTGAGGAATCTGGGACACCTGGGCCTCTGTCTCAGAGAAATACAAAACAAAGTTGTTTATTTCAGGTTTTTGCATTATGAAAGTTCAATTTATAGCTTAATTTAACTGGTCCACCCAAGTTCTTTGCTTCACTACTAAAAATGTGACACTTTAGACTGCCTTGAAAAATCAAAGCATTTGGAGCAGTGAGCTGGCTCTGCCCTTTCTACGATTATAACACTCTCGGTACAGGTTACAAAAACCCAGGGCCCTGCTCATGCTAAGCCAGTGCTATCTCCTCGCCCTTCCAGACATCAGAGAAAACAATGCACAGCAACAACAACTTCTACCACTGCAAACCAGGGGTCTGATACTTACATCTTGATTATACTCCAAGAAGACGTGGAAATTTAAATCTTTTCTCAAAATAGGATGCGCTGCCACACGACACAGGAACACCTCATGCATTGCGACCGTCTTCTTGAAAATTGCCAGATATTCACTAGAAACAACATAAAATTGAGTGAACAATGGCATCAACTAGAAGTCATCCCGACAATTATTCTCTGAAACATTCTAAATGTAAAAACCAGAAAGGTAAAGGCATAATTCATATCAACAAAGCTTTTAGCTGAACTGTTAAGTAAAAATATAAAGTTCGCCGGGCGGTGGTGGCACACACCTTTAATCCCAGCACTCGGGAGACAGAGCCAGCCTGGTCTCCAAAGTGAGTTCCAGGAAAGGCGCAAAGCTACACAGAGAAACCCTGTCTCGAAAAAAACAAAAAACAAAACAAAACAAAAAAAAACAAAATATAAAGTTCATTTCTGAAAAAGCCTCATGCTATTTTAGTATTTATTGTATCTAAATGTTAATATCTCAAGTCTTATAAACTTGATGTTGGGTCACTATTGGGGTATTTGTTTTTTAGCTCTAGAGAAATTATTTGATACAACCATAACCCAATTTTTATATAATTATAACCTTTACACACCTAACACAAAAAAATACCTAATCTTGTTAATCATTATTTTCATATAGTAACCAAAGTATGTGAGAAAGACCAACCACAGAGCAACTATTTATGACCTTATAATGAAGAAATGTGTTGAAGTATACTATCAATGACTCCCATACAGCAGCACAGGACAGCTGTGGGGGGGGGGGCACTCAAGGAAAGAGCCTGGTAGTCTTGCTTCGACTTCATGCAAGAAGCGAACGTTTTACACAGCACACATCAGCGGCTCAGTGTTGGGAGGAGTTTGATCTCCGTGGGTCATCCTTCAGTGCAGAGGGTGGAGGTAGCAGGAGGACCAAGCCAAGGCTCTCTCTAGCCAGGCCACAAAGAACCATCATCAGGGCCACCTGAAAACCAGGGCTTCAGCAGGCATGCGCTCTGCTAACGTCCAGCTCGGTCTTCTCTGAGATCGCTGCACCAGAACTGACAGAGTGTCCCTTTACACTTGGACAAAAACCTAGTCTGCTCATTTACCTTTCCAGTAACTCACTGAAATTCTGAAAGCGGGGGACAGATGCTTGAAAACTAAAGAGAAGAGTAAGGGAAGTGCACAAAAGGAGAAGGGCCGGAGAAGAGAAACGAGGTGACGAGAGAAGCGACGCCTCGGACAACTCTCAGAACACTGACAAGGTCCTCAGTGTTCTGTTACTCACATGGCCTGCAGTCACTCTGTCCCCTTTCTGAACTGTGTGTGTGTGTGTGTGTGTGTGTGTGTGTGTGTGTGTGTGTGTGTGTTTAACTTTAGTGTTTTCTTTTACTGATGAATCTATTAGTCAGCTCTCCCATCCCACCTTATGTGGGATCCGCAGCCTCAACTCCAGTGCTCTACCTGCTGAGCAATCCCATTCCCAGCAATGCTGACAGTGTATCTCTGATCTATATTTCCTCCTTTTATTTTCTGTTTGTTTGTTTTTCAAGACAGGGTTCTCTGTGAAACAGTCTTGGCTGTCCTGGAACTTGCTCTATAGACCAGGCTGGCTTCAAACTTACACGAGATCCTCCTGCCTCCGCCTCCCAAAGGCTGGGATTAAAGGTGTGCACCACTACTACTACTACTACTACCACCACCACCTGGCTACTTTTCCCTTTGTTTATTTACACTGGCTCTGAGGACTTAGCCTGGGTTTTCAGTCACTCCAGGGAAACGGTTAAGGAATGGTGTCGGAGCTCACACAGGCACCACACAAGCAGTTAACAGGACTGACAGCACCCGTCACGTACGCCTCCAGCTCCTGCTTCATCTTCGTGAATTCCTCCTTTGTCATCGACCCTTCCCCTTCTCCAAGCTTCTGCAGTTTTTCCCGGGAAGCATCAAAATCAGGTCTCGGGGGTGCTGGTGGGATCTATAATAAAACCAAAAACTCTCTTTCAGGACCTCTTTCTTTCTTTAACATTTGTTTTTAGGCGCGTGTGCGCACACACGCACGCGCGCGCACACACACACACACACACACACACACACACACACACACACACACACACACACACACACACACACACCCCGGCACGGGCACGGGCGCCCAAGCATGCGCAGTGGTCAGGCCTTGGTTCCCCCTTCTATCACGTGGGACGCAGGGCTCAAACTCTTCGGGCCTGGTGGCAGACACGGTTGTACCTGGCAAGCCATTTTGCCAGCTTACTTCACGTTTTCAGCACTGTACCACACCATCTGAAGACGGTGGCCCCTGTACTCAGGAGGCGGAAGTACATGGCTGCTAACTTGAGACCAACCTGGCCTACCTAATACTTGAGGACAGCCTTAATTACAAAGTGAACTCCTGCCTCAAACTAAACAAAACACAACAGTGAATGGATAATGCCAAAGTACAGCAAATGAATTGAGCACCAGAAATACCAAAATTGTGATTAGAAAACTTGACTAGTTTTAGAAACTAAGATCTGTGGGTTCCTGCATACCAATGAAGAAACAGAGTATAACATTATTTTATCAGCTTGTGGCCGAGGCCGCAGCAAAGCCTCTTGCCTCACCCCTCCAAGTGCCCAGCTCCCATAATACCGTTTGTTGGGGGTGGAGGGCGACGACGACATTAGGATGGACATTAGGATGGTTCGTAAGGAGAGGAGAGATGCCCAGGGGTAAAAGCACCACAGCACAAAGCCTGATGACCTGAATTTCTGTCCTACGCACAGGCCAGACACAGTGGCACATGTCTGCAATCCCATGGACATGCTCCACAAACAAATAGGTACACACACATTAAAATAAGTACTAAAAGTCAGGCGGTGGTGGCTCATGCCTTTAATCCCAGCATTTGGTAGACATAGGCAGAGGCAGAGGCAGGCGGATCTTTGTGAGTTTGAAGCCAGCCTTGTCTACAGAGTGAGTTCCAGGACAGGCTCCAAAGTGACAGAGAAAACCTGTCTTGAAAAAACAAAACAAACAAACAAACAAAAATATTAAAAATTAAAAAAATTTTAAGACACTTCTAGCCAGGTGTAGTGGTGTGCAACTTTAATCCTAGAAAGTGGGGAAAGTCAGAATTAGAATGCAAAAAGACGACTACGTTATTGGTCATTCACCAAAATCTGAGCTACAGAAAGGACACACATGACTCAGGGGGTGCTGGCCTCAAGATGAAGACACAGTCAGGCCATGATGACCCCAGGGAAATCATAAATTTCAGGACTCTGGCTGTGCTCAACAGCTGAGAATAACCACTTACTACTGATTACAACATCTTAAGGAGCATTCTAAACTCCAGTTTCTGTCCACTCAAGCATCCCAAACCAGTACAGTTTGTAACATTCCTCAATTAATCACCTACTCCAATACTAATTATCCATGTTTAGAAGGGCTCGGGCTTGTAACCCTAGCACTTGAGAGGGCAGAATCAAGACTGCTGCAGGTTCAAGGTCAGCCTGGACTACACACTAAACAGTGAGTTCCAGACCATGAAAGGGCTAGACAATACGCTAGACTCTATTTTGAATAAACAAAAAGAATTCAAGGTTAAGCAAAAAAGTATAACATTTTCAAAGTAAGACAAGACAACTCGGGATGAAAGGTGGTAGGCCGGGGATGGAGAGATGGCTCAGCGGTTAAGAGCACTGATTGCTCTTCCAGAGGACCAGGGTTCAATTGCCAGCACCCACATGGCAGCTTACAACTGTCTGTAGCTCCAATGCAGGCAAAATACCAATGCACATGAAATACAATAAATAAATTTAAAAATTAAAAAATGGACAAGAGTTCTCTGAAATGCTATCTTCTCGACATGATAAGGCCACTGTAAAATAAAAAAAAAAAAAAAAAAAAGGTGGTAGGCCAATGCCTCACAATTGGTATTTTTACAAATCACATCAGTTACTAAAAATGCTAAACAAAACCATATGGGTTTCTAAAATGTTCTTAGAAAATGAAAACCCAGGCTAGAAAGATGATTATCAGTAAAGACACACAGAGTTCTTGCAGAGGAGCCAGATCAGTTCCTAACACTGTTGGGTGGTTCACAACCACCTGTAACTCCAACTCCAGGGACATCTGCTGCCTCTGGCCTCCACAGGCACCTGTACTAACATGCACATACCCACACACAGGTCCATACATACATAATTTAAAGTAAGAGCTGGAGAGATGGCGCAGCAGTTGGGTGCTCTTCCACAGAACCCTAGTTTGGTTCCTAGCACCCATGCCAGGCAGCAGTTCATAAACGTCCTGTTAGTCCAACTCCACAGCATCTCTTCTGGCCTGTGTGAGCAACTACACTCACATCTAGATGCATGCACATTAAAAAAAGAAAAAAAATCTTAACAAGAAAAGGAAACCTAATACTTACAATGTAACCTGCATAGTCTTCATTCTCAACGAAGGAATCATGTAGCCAGATAAATTCCTCATGTTGTCGAACGACTGAAAATTCATCTTGTTTAAAATTTGGCAATGAACTCTGCAAAGACAGCAATTTTCCTGAATAAAAGTAAAATTATCCTCGGATCTTTGAAAAAAAACTCAAGAGGCGCCTATTTATTGTATTGCTATCATCACTTCAGGTTATACTATTGGCTGGTGTAGTGGCACTCACACAGACAGGCAGATCTCGGGGAGCTGAGGCCAGCCTGGTCTACAAAGTGAGTTCCAGGCCAGCCAGAGCTACGTAGTGAGATAGACAGACAGACACAGACACACATACACACATACTCACTCACACACAAACCTAGAAATTAAAATTATATGTAGGTTCTGTGTTAACTCCTAAAATCATAATTAACTTCTCCAGCCTAGTCTACATAGTCAGTTCCCAGACAGGAAGAACTACATATTTTAAAAAAAAAAAAGAAAGAAAGAAAGAAAGAAAGAAAGAAAGAGAGAGAGAGAGAGAG